TTGAATCGTGGTCCCTGTGCTTTGCTAAGCTTGTTCTAAGTAGGTGCTTTAGACCACTGAGCCATATCACCAGCCCAAAAATTTTAAAGTAAGTGGGAGAAAAAAATAAAATAAGTGGGAGAAATATTTCTAAGTAAGACGCACACCACAGAAGCTATGAACCTGGGTACAACTAAGGAGTAAAGCATGTGCTTAACATCCACAGGGTGCTTAGCGGGTCCAAAAAAGGAGGAAGAGAAAAGAGAAGATAAAATTTAGAAGCCAGTCAGGAGAAATCAGACAGATTTAACTACGTGAAAGTTTTTACATTCTGTACAGTGAAGATACCAAAAAACACAAACTCAAAGGATACAGTACAAGGTAGGAGAAAACATTTGCAGCAACCTGTAATAAACAAAAGACTAATTTCTTTCTTTCTACAAAAAAACTATAATGAACTCTTTGATAAAGAAATAAACAAGCAGCTCACTGCAAAGATGGCACATGTGCCCGATAAAAAATACTTTTACTATTCTATTTTACTCAGAATTAAAGAAGTATCAATAGAAAAAAGACACTATTTTTACATATTAATAGAACTGAAAAGCTTAATAATGCCGCCCTGGGCAGGGACACAGACATTTTCATGCATTGGGAGCAGCACATCTCCTGGTCCAACCTCACTGGGCAACAAATTGTTACACGCACAAAAAATTAAAAGTAATTTAAAAAGCATGCTCTTTAATCTTAGGTAGTTCTTTTCTCTCACGCATGTAAAGATACACAAGCAAGGGCGTTCACTGCAGGGCTTGATGGCCTGTGCTTTTTTGCCAGCGCTCAGGAGGCTGAGGCAGAGCGCCACAAGTTCAAGGCAGCCAGGGTTACACGGAGAGAGAATGCTTGCTAGAAAGAAGAAAACAATACAAGAAACATGTCCATAGCTCTTTGTTAACACAGTTACTGACGGGGCTGGTGAGATAGCTCGGTGTTCTAATTGCATGCCTGGCAAGTGCAAGGACCTGGGTTCGATCCCCAGCACCACATATAGCCCTGGAAGTTGGGCCAGCCACTGAAACTGGGCGATCACCAAAACTGGGCATGGTGGCACACACCTGTAATCCCAGTGCTGGAGAGGCTGAGACAGGAGGATCACTACGAGTCCAAGCTGTGCAGCGAGACCCTGTACCAAATAAATAAAAGTTTAAAAAAAAAAAAAAAACAGCCACTTAATATTTCATTCAGCAACTAGAAGAAGGTGGACATCCTAAACGCTGGAGATGAAGCAGTGAGCAGATTCCCTTCCTTTGGGAGAGTGACCACAAGTCAGGACATAGTGGAGGTAAAGTGACTGCTGTGTTCTGCAAGGTAATGGGACATACTGTAATAGTTTTGGTATTTAGTGGTGAAGGAAAACCATGTTGAGGTTCTGCCATTTGAGTAGAAATTTAAATTAAGTGAGGAACAAGCCTAGAAAATTTCAGGGAGAAGAAGAGGAGAGGAAACATAGAGATAATAAGTACAAATTTTTTTTTCATTGCTTTTGAGGGGTTTTGCTATGCAGGAGAGCCAAAATAAATGCTGTGACTGGAGGGAGCTATGAAATCAAGGGAAATTTTCTTTCTTTTCTTTTTCTTTCTTTCTTTTTTTTTTTTGTTTTTTTTTTGTTTTGTTTTGTTTTTGAGACAGGGTCTCATCATGTAGCACAGGCTGGCCTGAAATTCCTAGCAAATTTCAGAAAGCCCACCCCTGAAAGGGCTTTATTATCTTTAGATCATAAAGATAATAAGGGTTCCCTGTTACAAGGGGACTAACTGTATTCACAAGGACTCTAACCTCATGCCCTAAGCCCTTCTCCTAAAGACCCATCAGATTTCAGGGGTGGGTTTTTTGAAATTCACTAGGAATTTCAGGCCAGCCTATGCTACATGGTGAGACCCTGTCTCAAAAAAAAAAAAAAAAAAAAAAAAGAAAGAAAGAAAATTTCCCTTGATTTCATAATTTCCCAGAAAGGATGGGATTGCCACAGGAGATATTACATGAAACTGGGAAACGGCAGGTGACCTGGGTGAGATGAACCCAAGCCATCTGCCCATGCACAGTTGGGCTTAAGTGTCATTTTCTTAAGGCTTGGGTATCATTTCCCTGAAAAGAGTGATTTCCAGAGTGAGGCTGGCCCACACAGGGAGGAGCGCACACTACACAGAGGGAGGTCAGCAGGCAGGTCAGACGGCCAGGGAAAGGCCAGGCCCAGGGGGAGTCAGGATGACCCAGGGAAGGACAAGAGGAAGCCTAGGCCTGAGGGATAATAAAGAGCTAGGCCCCAGGATGGGGACACCGTAGTCCAGGGTCCCATATTATTATTATTTTTATTTTTTTTTTTTTTTTTTTGGCAGAACCGGGGATTGAACTCAGGCCCTTGCGCTTGCCAGGGAAGCGCTATTTTACTGAGCCATCTCCTGGCCCTTAAGGGTTCCATATTAAATTAGGAAGATCTTCCTGTCCAGGAATGTGAAATAAAAAACCAAGGTGAAAAAAAAAAAAAAAAAAAAACCAAGGTGACAACCTGCCCTACCAAGCCGCTATTTGTGCTCCTCTGCAGAATGTCTTTGTCCTAGCGTGGTCTGGGATGTAGTCATTTCTGTATACCAAAACTCCTAGATAGAGTTCTCATGGCAACCTGCCTGGATCCTCTCCTTTTATTTCTCTCCTGACTCTGTCTTGTAATTCTTTCTGGGTTGAGAAAAGAACCCACCAGCTGGATGGTAACATAACAGCATATTTGTTTTTTGCTTCTGATTTTGTTTTGGTACCGGGGCTCGAACTCTGGACCTTACGCTTGCCAGGCAGGTGCTGTGCCACTAAGCTACATCCCCAGCCCCACAGTATATTTGTAATATGATATTGATCCAGGTATGATATTGATCCAGAAGAGAAGGAAATTGTGTTTGTTTTTTGAGATCGGGTCCACTAGGCAGCTCCGTTTCCCAGGCTGACATTGAACTTGTGTTCTTCCCTCCTCTGCCTCCCAGAGTGCTAGGATTACAGGCAGGGGCCACCACACCCAGCTATGGCTATACATGGTGCAGTCGAAAAACATGATGAATGTTAACATTTTTAAAAATTTATTACAATGAAAAGCATAGAGGGCCAGACGGAAAGAATATGTCCTTCTCTGTCAGTTTTAAGAAAACCAACACCAGCTTGTGGAAGTTACTGAAAAGCTGTGGTCCAGGTTTCCTCGTAGGGAAAGGAGGGAAAGATCCTTTGGCTTAATCATCAACTTCTATCCCTTTACAAGTGAGTCAAGATAATAGATAAAAAAGTAACTCATTAGTTATGTTCCAGTTACTAGTGTCACTGAAGTCTGTAATTTGTGTTTAGAATTTGTTGCTTTTCATGTTTGCAATTTTTTTTTAATGTTTAAAATCTTTTATTCATTTATTTGGTACAGGCTCTTACTACACAGCTCAGACTCGTAGTGATCCTCCTGTCTCAGCCTCCCCAGCACTGGGATTACAGATGTGCACCACCATGCCCAGTTTCCATGGCCAGCACAGCATGCAGTACCAGGGATCAAACTCAGGTCCTTTGGCTTGCCAGGCAGGCATTTAGACTGCTGAGCTATCTCCTCAGCCCGTATTTACCTTTTTTTTTTTTTTCATATTTGCAATTTTATGACACTCAAAGTTTTTATTTTCCTCTTTTAATTTTCTGCCCAATGCTTTTTATTCTTGAACACCACAACGATAATTTTTTTTTTTTTTTTTTTTTTTTTTTTTTGGCTGGCTCAGGCTGCCATTAAGGCTAGGTCTGGGGATCAAACTGTGGTCACTGGGTTTGCCCAGGCAGGCACTTAAACAACTGAGCTAACCCGCAAGCCTCCCAGAGTATTTAATTCTTGCAAACATTAAAGTGATTTGCCTGCTAGGATACGGTTTGGTTGGGCTTTTGTTATTTTGTTTTGTTTTTTGTTTTTGAGACAAGGTCTTGCTGTATAGCTCAGGCTGGCCTCGAACTCAACAGCAATCCTCCTGCCTCAGCTTCCCACTGATGAGTGCCTGAGGACTCTGGGCCATAGGTGCTTTGGGGCGGCCTCCTTCTAGCTCTGTGTACGGTCTGTGGATCTTCTGGAATCCAGCTCTGGGTCTGGTCCTATGTGGGGGAAGTGGGACCACAGAGGCTCAATGGACCGGAGCAGCAGCAATATCCGCGCATGGACGAACAGAGCCCAAGCTCATCCGCCTCCCACCTGCGCACTCACAGGTCTTTTCTTCCCTACACACACACACACACACACACACACACACGCACACACACACAGTCTAAGCAAGAAAACCTAGAACCATGTCCCCCTGCTCACTCTCAGGGTCCCCCCTGGTCCCACCACCTACTAGGCATTATGCTCTCACCAACACTCTGGGCCACAACGCGATCCACAGATCGCAGCCGCAGAGACACCACCAACCTTGAGCAGGTGAGGCAGCTGCTGGGTGACCAACTCCCGAAACTCATTGATGCTGAGGCTGCCCTTCCGGCCCTCCCGCCCTGCGAAGGTGAAGAAAGTGGTGACCACTGTCTCGATGGCAGCCTCCAGCTCTGTCAGTGGCTCGGCTGCCATTAGGACCCAGGCTGGGAGGCGCTGGGGCTGATGTCCTCGCGGAGTTGTCCTCCAGGTCCAGGAGCTCGGGCTCCGAACACCTCGGTGTTGCCTTGGGCTTCTGCAGAGGGGAGGGCGGGGACAGAAGCTGGGGTCAGAGAGCGCCAGGCCATGGTATTTCAGTTTTGGTTCCGTTCCCAAAACCCCTGTTCTGTGGGTTTTACAGTCCTTCTTAGGGGCCCTCAGAGGCGGCGCCCCTGTGAGGTGTCTGTCCCAAGAGCTCCTCACAACCGCAAAGGGTCAGGAGGCTGTTTGTCCCCAAAGCCTGTTTACACTGGAGCCTGGGTCTCCGCCTGCCCACGCACGGGCCACTTTCCCCAGCGGGCGGGCGGGGGCTGGCAAAGGCCCAGCTGCGGTCAGTCGGGTCAGATCCATCTTCTCTGCACCCACATTCTAGAGGGCAGCTGCACAGAGAGCTGAGCACAGCGCCCCACAGATGCCCACACGCTCCCGTCCCTGGATGACACGGTCCTAGCTCGGCCCCACTCTGGCTCCGCAAGCCTGCCGCGGGGTGGTCGGGACACTCGCAGCCCCCAGGCGCGTGGGGAAGGACGGGGAAGGGGCCATGCCCGCCGTCCCTCATTTCCGTGCACAGGCCAGCACTCGCACTCCTCGGGGACTGTCGCCTGCTCCCCTAAAGCCACTTCCTGAATTGCTCTCGGAGTCAGCTATCGGGTGGGAGGCACACCCACCCCAAAAAAACCCGGACTCCCTCCAGGGTCAACTCACCAAGGCAGGGAGATGGGTTGGAGAAGGGCTGGGCGAGTAGCAACTTCCCGGACTGAGGTTTATAAGCACCGCAGGGAGGGAAAAGACAGCCACGCCCCAGCCCTGGGCTATCGAGTTTCCCGGCCGGTGACCGAGGGAGGGAGGGAGCGGCCCAATCACAGCTCCGGTCTCCTGCGTTTGGGGATGGGGGGCTGGGGGGGGGGGACGCAGCGGGGGTCCTCCCCCATTACTCCCCCTGAGCTAATCTGGAGTGTCTCTTGGGGACAAGAGAAAGAGGCACGATGGGACACAACTGATTTTATTTTATTTAGTTTTTTGAGACAGGGTCCCCCCTGTGTAATTTAGGCTGGCCTTAAACTCACTATGTAGCCCAGGCTGCCCATGAACTCTCACTGATTCCTCTGCTCTGCGCCCCTCCACCCCAAGAGCTGAGATTACAGGCATATGCCACTGAGCCAGGTACAAGTACTAATTTTTAAAAAGCAACTGAAGCTGGGCATGGTGGCACACCCCTGTAATCCTAGCACTCAGGAAGCTGAGGCAGGAAGATGGTTGAGAGTTTGCGGCCAGCCTGAGCTACAAAGAGCTCAAGGCTGGCCTGAACTGTACAGTGAGAGCCTGTCTCAAAAAGACAAGAAGAATACAATTCAGTAAAAAAGCAACTGAAGATAGCCGGCAGAGGTGTCGTATGCCGATAATTCCAGCTCTCTGGAAGGCTAAAGCAGAAAAATCCCAAATTCAAGCCCAGTCTGAGAAATTTAAGTGACTCAATGAGAACCTGTATCAAGAAAAAAAAAAAAAAAAAAAAGACACGGGATGTAGCTCAATAATAAGACCATGGATTCAATTCCAAAAAAGAAAAAGCACCTGAGAGCTTCATCTGAAGACCAACAACCCCTCAGGGGACCCCAGCTGCATGGCTGGACCTCACAAACAGAAGGCTCCAGGCTGAAGCCACCACAGAAGAGACCACAGAATGAAGCCTCAGGAGGAGTCTGACAGAAACACACCCACCCCAAGATTCCTCAACTAAGGCCAGGCCAAGTTTCCGCAGTGAATCTTCCCCTTCCTCTGCTTAGCTGCACAACTGGTCCAGAGTTCCCAGAGCAGGGTGGCACAGCTCCGTCCCTCCCAGGATCTCCCTTCCACCTCCTCCCTCCTCTCTGCAGTGCCCAGTGGGGCGGGAAGACACTGGGCAGCCTGTGCCAGCCCAGGAGACAGAGGGCGCCTCTGTCCACTCCTGGCCCCTGGCCTCCCTGCGTGTCTGTCTATGAAGGAAGGGGTGGAGCTGGGGGTGGGGAGAGGAAGGGCCCCTAAAGACAGGTCCCACACAGCTCTGAGAGCCACACTCGCTGTCTTGGCCATCCACCCAGAGGCTGCTCCAACCTCAGATCCAGACCGCCTGTAAGTATTATGCAGCCCAACCTGGGCTGGCACCCCAACCTGGCCAACAGGGGGACCCCCAAAGCCCTGGCACTAGGGTTCCCTGAGGGCCTGGGAGCAGCAGGGGCAGTTTGAAGACAGTTTGGGAGGTGGCGAGGGGAGCCAAGTGAAGAGCAGAGGGAGGGCTGGGGGCTCACTGGATGCCAAGGTCAGCAGAGAAGCCGGCACCTGGCTCCCAGGACTGGGCCCTCCCTCACCCACCGAGTCCCCTACCAAGGCCCTATCAGTCTCCCAGGGTTGAGGAGGGGCCTCAGTGCTGGCCCGTTTCCAGTGGTGTAAGAATGAGAGCAGAACAGCTGTTCCTGCCCCCTGCCAGTCTCAGGCTCTGCTGTGCCCCATCCTTGCCAAAAGCCAGGTCCCCAGGAAGCCTGGGGGCAGTAGCAGCATAGGAGCCATTTAATGTCAGGAAGAGGGGCCCCAGGTCTGTGCCCCTCCCAACTCTACTTCATAGGCTTCCCCTTCCTCAGCCCAGACCCCTGCCCACTCTCTTGACCCCAATTCTTTCCGGTTGGCCACTGCCCAGGTCCTCCCAGAACTGTTCCAATATAAAATCCCAGGCAAACTCCAGGTGTCCCTCCTAGCTGGGTCTAGTAACCGAGCCACCAGCGTCCCTCCCTGGAGAGCCCTCTTATCCCCTCCATCAGCCCTGGCTTGGGTTTCATCTCCCCCATGACTCGTTGACAACGGCTTCTCATGTCCGGAGTTCAGGTGACACTCACAAGGGCCCCATTGAAGAGCTGGGATGTCATCCGATCATCAGGGCTCATTGTCCAGTCCCCCAGGCCTGGAGTGGGACGGGCCACCTGATCTGAGATACCTGAGCTCCCCCGTGAGGCTGGGGAGGGCCTGCCTAAGGCCCCCTGGTTTGGCAGGTTCTCTCTCTACAAGCCCCTCCAGTATTCACTCATTCCTAGGCCTCTGAGCTCAAAGGACCCTGGGAACACGGCCGTTGGGCTCCCCAACACATACTCAGCTCTACCCCTATCCTGCTGCATCCCACCAGCTAAGAGGGCAGCCGCACCCCAGGCCTGCAGGTTTCCTCCCCTCCTCCCATCTCCAGAGGCAGGGCGCAGAAGTCTCCTCCTCCCTCCTCCCACCCACCTGATGGAGGGGACAATTTGGATCATTTCTCTGAGAAGAGGAAACAAACTGAAGGCAATGAGGCACACACGCCCACCCCGCCCCCAATCCCTAGTCACAATGACACCTTAAAGGCAGCAGGGCCTTAACAGACCAAATAGATCAGGTTGCTGATCAGAAGCTTTATGGCAGTGGGGTTCCCCTCTCCAGAAGTCACAGCCCCCCACCCTGGCTGTCATCCCTCCCTGAGGCTCCTCAAGGTCCCCTCACTAATTCTGTGCTGGGGTGGGCAGCAGAGTGGAGGCTGTACAGACCAGGCCCACCACACTCAACAGAACAGCTTGACAGTGCTAGGCCTGCAAGGTCCAGAGTAAAAATAGAGCCAGAAGAAGCCACTGCGTCCTGTGACCACCCTCCCAGCCCCACCCTCCTGTCCCTGCCAGGGGAGCCACTACAGACATCCGCTGCGGGCCTCCCAGCCAGCCCAGCTCAGGCTGCTTGATTTTTGTGCCCAAGCTGGACTGGGTAGGTGCAGGCTGAGGGCACGGAGCACATGCCTGGGTTAGGTGTGCCGGAGTTTCCCACACTGTAAAATCTCACTGAAAGACAAACTACAGCCGGGCTCTCAGCTTGCACCTATTTGTACTGTGGAACCAATACCCACCAAGCGAGAGCTCCTTGCCCGACCCCAGCTCACTTCTGTGGTGGGGTCGGCAGGTGCACTGGCTTCCACAATGGGCTCTGAGCTGGAGACTGCCATGGAGACCCTCATCAACGTGTTCCACGCCCACTCGGGCAAGGAGGGGGACAAGTACAAGCTGAGCAAGAAGGAGCTGAAAGAGCTGCTGCAGACGGAGCTCTCTGGCTTCCTGGACGTGAGCACGGAATGGGAGTATTGGGTGTTGGGGGTGAGGGGCGGGAGGATGGAGTGGGCACCTCCCTGTCACCTCCTCACCCTACCCCCAGCTCAGCCTACTCCTCGCCCTCCTCTCCCAGGCTCCTCTACCTCCCCAGGACAGGCCAAGATGCCCTCACTTACTGCCTGGTAAACACCAGGCCCTGAGCAGACTCCTCAGTAACAAGGTTCATAGTCTAGGAGGGCAAGGCTGGTACCTGGACGTAAATCATGCCTCCAGGAAGCGCACAGAGCCTTCACAGAGGTGCCTACAAGGCTAGGGCACCAGTGACCTCAGGGGCATGAGCTGGCTTTTCTGACAAGGCAGCCCTGGAGCCACACACGCCCACTGAAGGCAGTGGGTCATGGAGGACATTTTAGGAGGCGTTTGTGAGAACAAAGAGGAATCTGGAGCATGCCTAGTAGTCCCGCTTGATGGGAGGTTACAGAGAAACAGACTGCGGGTGCTGGGGGGCTGCACCCAGGACCCGCCCTGGGACGCAGCAGAAAGTCCACCTTCGGGGTGCAAGTTCTGGCCCGGCTATTTTCCAGCTGTGACTCTGGGCACATGTGCTTAACCACAAACTGTTGATTTGATTGCTCTCTAGAATAGAAATAGTACCAACAGCCCCATACCTTTCCCCATTTTGGTGCTGGTATTGAACCCAGGGCTTCACTTATACTCCCCAAGTGCTCTACCACTGAGCTATATACCCTGCACCTTTCTTTATTTCATGTGTTAGTTTTACTTTGAGACAGGGTCTCAGGGTCTCTTGAATTATGTAGTTCAGGCTGGCCTCAAACGAAGGGACTAGCCTGCCTCCGCCTCTCAAATGCTGGGATTACAGGCATCCACCACCTTGCCTGGCTCCCCAGTCCTTTTTATTTTGAGTCAGCATCTCACAAAGTTACCCAGGTTGGCCTCAAATTTGCAACCCTTGTGGCTTATTTCCAGGCAAGCCTGAGGTATATCATTATGTCTCTGAGCTATGTTACTGGCAATTACATTCTGATTTCTTTTTTTTCCAGGTACCAAAACTCAAACTCAGGACCTTGCACTTGCCAGGCAGGTGCTGTTGGCTCATTCTCAAGCGGCTGGGTTGTAAATATGCACCACCACACCCACCCAGCTAACTAGAATTAAATTAGTAGCCAGGTTTGGTGGTATACACCTATAATCTCAGCACTCTGGAGGCTGGGGAAGATCACCCCAAGTTTGAGGCCAGCCTGGGCTACATAGTGAATTCAAGGGCCGCCTGAACTATATAGTGAGGTCCTGTCCAAAAATAAGCTTTTGCTGTTGTTGTTTTCCAGCTGGCTCAGGCTGCCTTAAGGGCGGGTCTGGTGTGCCATAAGGCAGGAAGACTGCCCCAAATTCAAAGTCAGCCTGGGCTATATAGTGAGTTCAAGGTTAGCCTGAACTACATAATGAGACCCTATCTCAAAAAAAAAAAAAAAAAAAAAAAACACAAATAAACCGAGTGTGATGGCACATACCTGTAATCCCAACACTGAAGAGGCTGAGGCATGAGGATTAGTACAGGTTTGAGGGGGCCAAGGATATAGCTCATTGGCATATGTACCTGCCTGGCAAGCACAAGGTCCCAAGTTCGATTTCTAGTACAAAAAAAAAAAAAAAAGAATTACTATGAATTTGAGGCCAACCTAGGCTACATAGTGAGTTCAAGGCAAGCCTGAACTACAAAGTGAGACCCTGTCTCAAACAAAACAGGCTGGGAATGTAGCTCAGTATAAAGCCCACAGGTTCAATCCCTAGCACTACAGGAAAAAAAAAAAAAAAAAAAGGCAGCGCCCATGAGGGTGCTACCTAGCATAGTACTTGTCAAAAAAAAAAAAAAAAAAAAGGCAGCGCCCATGAGGGTGCTACCTAGCATAGTACTTGTCACACTGCAGACAATGAACCTACCGCAGTGATGGCAAACCCTTTAGAGCTTTCACTGATACAGCCTGTTGCAGCACACGTACACAGGTTGGCCACCACTGATAGGGCGACTGACATTATTACCTCTGCCAGGTGAAGGAGTCTGTTGAGTAGGCCAGGCACAGAGGCGCAGATGCCCATTCCCCTTCCTGCTCATTGCTCCCTCCCTCTCCTCGACCACCCTCTGCTGGCCGGCCTGGTTCCCGGCCCTCCCCTTACACTCTCCCTCCTCCCTCACAGACCCAGAAGGACGCTGACGCAGTGGACAAGGTGATGAAGGAGCTGGACGAGAATGGAGACGGGGAGGTCGACTTCCAGGAGTACGTGGTGCTGGTGGCTGCGCTCACCGTGGCCTGTAACAACTTTTTCTGGGAGAACAGCTGAGCAGGCGGCCCCAGAGCAGCGCCTTGCCCTCCACCCTGCTTGCCTCACCCCAGCTAGGCCTCCCCACACTCCCACTTTGCCTGTCCCCTCCACACACCAAGGAGCAGGAGTAGCAATCCAGCGCAGCAACTTGTCTTCATTAAAGGCTCCTCTGCCAGCCACGGGTGTTTGTCTCCTCCTGGGTCTGGCGTGGGTGGAGAAGTGCAGACCACGCGCTCCCAGTGCCTCTTAGTTTGGAGCGAGGTCTTACGCACTGCATCTTCCTTCCTGGGAGAATGCTCAAAGCTCGGCAACGCGGGCCCCAAGGTTCCAGCTAGAAATGAAGACTTCAGCTTCACAGTTCTAAAACCAGAAGACGGCTTTCAACCCTCCACCAGTAGTTACGTGCTAGACGTTGTGTAGGAATTGGGGTGCAACACTGTGCAAAATAAACCAACACTTGCCCTCACCAGGGTGGGTAAAGACAAGGAATAGTATAGGTCACCCCACACACACACCCCAGGAAGGAAATGAGTGACAGGGTCCTGACCACTCCCGGGGCAGAGGACGCGGTTGACATTGTGCTCATTCACCCAGCAGACATGTGAGCGCCCCACTGAGGACCCAGCATTCACAAAACATCTGTCTGGCTCTGCCCCCAAATCCACAGGGATGCCAGATGGGAGGCAGAGAAGGGAACAGGCGGGCCAAGGGGCCCCTAAAGAAGGATCAGGCGTACCCATGTGGGGGAGAGACAGGAGGAAAACGCGGACAGCGGCAGCAGCTGCTGCAGCAACCCTCCAGGCGAGATACCGCACGCCCCTTTATCCACTCGCGATCATGAACACGCGACTAAGGGACATCCCCCAGTTGCGGTGCTTAGGATGAGAACGAGGCAGGTCCTGCATGAAGATTAGGGGAATTCAACAGTTTTTATCCTGACATAGCCGCCCTCTGCGGACGAAATCAAGAATCCAGCAGGTTGCAAGGCAACCGGGGCTGGAAAAAAACTAGTCCCCTGAGTGTCCCACCCACGAGGCCACTGGCCACGCCCCCTTGAGTGCGGAGGACCGCCCACAATTCTGGAAGACTTCCGGAATGACTTCTGCGCAGGCGTGCATATATCTTCCCCAGGCCCCTAGTTGCGCGTGCATCTGACGTCCGACGTGCTGCGTCGACGCCATTTTAGCCGGTCCCATTCCGCATTGGGCGTGGTGGCCATTTTGTTTTAGCCGTCGAGCGGGAGTTCGCCTCCAAACTGGTGTTACAGACGAAAAGCAGGAAAAGGCAGGCCGGGAGAGCAGGCGGATCGTCCAGCGAGTAGGCAACCGACCCCTAAAGAGCGAACCTCGCCATCTACCAATTACGCATC